TCTTGAATTCTTGATGTATTTTGAATTCCTGAATTATCTTGGATTCTTTGTGTTCTTTGGCTTATCTTGAGATGGGCCTCCATCATTCTCCCCCACTTGGAAAAGATCGTGGCTAGGATATGCGAGGGTCGTCTCTGGTAGGTAGCGATGAAGGTCAGCAAGTATTAAAGCACTGGGAAATTGTGTAGTAGCTTCTCCTGAGAAATTGTTAACATAGATTGCAGATGCTCTCTTATCACATATACGGTCAGCAGACCAACATGGATGAAGTGTTTTGGTCGCTTGCTCAACATCAATTCCCTTCCCCGATTCTRTCATCCAATAAAGGGCTTGGTTCTGATACCGCCTTAGACCACACATGAGTGTTTTTAGGGGATCCATTTCCTCCAGATTGTATGTATCTGCAGTACTGACAAGCTTATTTAGAGTTGACTTTGAGATAACTTGTTCATCGTTACTTTGCTCAAGATATTGGCCCCCCTTTCTTCGTTTCAAAAGAGGCAAGAGTGTTGCAGTTTCATCTGAATCACCCTCTAGGCTTAAAGAACGTTTTCGCTTGTCAAGATCCTTCGGGATAACTTCTAYCTTCTGATATGGCTTAATTTTCAGCAATTTGAAAAGAGCCAGAAGAGGACAAAKAGTAGAATYGAAATATGAAGGAACTTCTAACTTCCATGAAGATTTATCACCCTCAATGAAAATGGAACTGTGAATGTGAAAGCTTACACACTGTACGATTTCTTGCATCAAACTAAAGTCTTCTGGCGTAGCTACACATCGACCACAAACTTTAACCTTTGAAGAATTTACCAGGGGAATTATGATTCTAGTACCAAGAACAAAATCAATGTGATGTTGTATATCTCGCATGGGTGAGAGTTCATGTGGTAACTCATCTGGAACTACATCATGGAACTCATCAAGTAGTCCCTGCACTTCCACTGGAATTTTATTTTCCTCCAGTGTTTCATTCATATTTCCTCCCTTCAACAAATGTACCCCGTGGGTATCTTTACATTCTTTTACAAATTCAGCATGATGATGGGTAATAGTAAGGAAATTTTTCTCATTTGCTTTTGGGGCCTTTGTAATATTCTTTTCAGCCATGCGTAACAAAGTATAACGTATACCCTCTTTTTCAAATTGGTAGGTATTTTTCCTACCCATATGCCTTGCATCTGTATCAAATTGCCAAGGCCTCCCTAACAAAATATGGCAAGCATCCATATCTACAATATCACAATATACTTTATCATGGTACTTACCATTGGAAAAAGGTACCTTGCAGCGTTCCTCCACTCGTACGCCGTCTCCTTCCTTGATTCACCCAATTGTATTTGGGTTTGGATGTTTTTCATGAAGTAATTGTAACTTTTGTATGACATCCCTGCAAATAATATTTTCTTGACTGCCTTAAGTTAAATAATTTTCCCTTGACAGTACATCTGGTACAAAATAATCTGTGCCTTTGAGAAGTATCCTTATTTTTCTGGGACAACATTAATTTTCTTACCACACAAGTATACTCCTCATGTTCATATGGACCCTCTTCATCCTCCCCATCAGGTCCACAATATACTTCCTCCTCCATTTCTACCATATTAACTGCCTTCCTCCTGGGACAGTCACTGGA